ACATCATGGTCACTTCTGGCGACTCCAGTGCTGCTCGCTGCCTGAGACACCCTACAGCCCCCACTCTCTTCACTTCTCGAGAAAAGGCCTCAGAAGCAGGCCAGCCTGCAGCCCCGTGACGCGCCGTCGTCAGCAGTCCGGCGCTCGCCCACGGTCGGCTCGGCGGCCTCCTCCTGGGTCCTGCCAGCCGTCACCTGGTGCCCGCCCGCCCGCCCTGGCTGAGTCTGCCCTGCGCGGACGGCCGAGGCCCTTCCTGCACACTCGGCCCTCCGGGGGCCCTCCCGGCCTCCTCCCTCCCAGAGGCTGGGCCTCCCTCGTGAATTTTCGCTATGGCGTGAGGCTGTGCCAGGTCCGGGGTGTCGGCCTCCTCCCCCGAACGGTTCTAAGCGCGGAAGGGGGCTGCTGGGTCATGGCCGCTGTCCCCTGCTGTCCCCGGGCGGGTTCTGATTCCGCTGCGGGGACTTCGTCCCACCCACAGCGCCTCGAGGCTCTCCTCTCCCTCCTGGGCACTTCCGGTTCTCGTCCCCTGGGGCGCAAGGCCCCCAGGATGGGACACAGGTGAGGTCTGTGTCTTCACATGGGCATTGCCCCTGGCATCTCCCGTGCCTGTCCCATTTTCCTTACACAAGAAACGTACACGTGGCGCCTTTATCTGTCTCACCATCAAGACCTGCCGACCTCCCAAGCCCTAAGCTGCAAAGTGTCACCTGTATGGAAACAGGTGGAATAGGAAAGATTGAGCCACACCGGTGTGCAGCACCGCTCCCGCCACCTGGGCATGGTGCCAGCCCAGTGCCCTTCTGCAGCCGAATGGACAAGCACTCGGTGGAATATTATACAGCCACGAAGAAGGACAAACTGGTGGCGCTTGGGGCAAAAGAGCCAGATCTTGAGGTGAGTACGTTGAGTGAGATCAGTACTCATCTGTGGACTATAAATACCCCAAAAACAATCATACAAATAATAGAAGAAATAAAAATTTGAACTCTGCACATAAAAATAATGGTTACCAGAGGAGATACAGGAAAGGGTGGAGGTGGGAGGGAGGTGGCGTGGGCACAGATGCTCTGGCGCAGGGAATAAATTAAATAAAACAAAAAACCTGAACAATACAGAGTGCAGCATTACGAGAAACTCAAACACAGAAACACCGTGGAGTCACTGTGAACCGGTACATGAAGCATTCGGGTCTGTTTGGGGAGGCTATCTATGCACCAGCAGGGGAGAGGAAGCCCAGGCTGGGGAGGGAGTCCAGCGTTTCAGCGAACACCCTCAGGAGGGACATGGAAAATGGC